CAGGGAAACTCAGCGGGGTACGTTTTGGCAGTTCAGAGGAGCTCGCCAGTATGTTCTCCCAGGAGGAAGGGCCCGACCGGGCACTGTTGTGGCCGTGCTTTCTTTTGTTTTTGTGTTTGTTCGTGGTCCTTCGGGAACTCAGGTCCTGGATCAAACCGCTTGGCCGTGGAGTTAGGGGCGTCTTTTCTCGACCTGCGCTGCGTTGTGCAGTGTGGCAGGGTTGGGTGGGTGCTCAGTGTGATCTTTCCTTTGTTGACGACTTAACTGTGCTCGCTTTTGTTTTGCGCTCTCATTATCCTTTTGCCATCGCTCTCGCTTTTTCCGAATCAGTATGCGTTGCCTCGCTATCCCTAGGCTTGCGCCCCGACGCCGCCAAGACGAATGGTATCATAACTATCAGAGGTGCGGGTTCCCGCAGCGTTCCTGGGCTTGCTGATCGTTCGGTTTGTAGCCTTTCTTCAGCAAAATGGGGCATCACCTTTCCCGTTGTTTTGACTCATGAGATTCTCGGGGCTCAGGTTGCTGCGTCTGGTTCCTTTGCTCCTGAAGTCAACGCCCGTATTGCCGAAGCTAGGGGGGCCCCCAGGCCCATCAAGGCCACTGTGGCTCCTCGGCCTCGTCTATCCCGTTGGGCCAAGATTGCCTTTGAGGAGGCTCTGAGCTCCGCTGTCCTCTACTATGCTGTGGGTGCTTGGCCCATGATCAGCAGTGCCCAGGAGAAAAAGATGGTCGCTGCTCATCTGGCGGTGCATCGTACGGCGCGCAACCTCTCGTCCATCAACAATGCTGAGTAATCTGTCAGCTTGGCGCAAGTTATGCTTCAGGCCGAGGCTGCCCTGTGCGGTAGGCATGACTGTGGCCCACCTCCGTTATATGCTACGCTTGACGCGCTTTGCGCTCCCCCCCTGGTTTGGGTCCTTGTGGATATTACTGTGGGATGCCCGCTGGGTTGGGCTACCTTGCTGGCCCAGGATTTGGCTGGGTTGCGCTTTCATGCGGAATCCGACAAGAGGCCCGATGATATTCGGTACAGGGGATATTTCAATTCGCTCGCGACCACCCTAGAGCGTTCAAGGCGCTCGTAGTTTCGGAGGTTGTCAGGGCCAAGAGGGCAGCTCTTGACGCGCATCATTGTGAGGCATGGCGGAGGGAGTTTAATGCGCGTGCGCGTGACACCCCCCTGCCGGTCTCTGCCCCCGTACTCCCACTAGATCGGTGTGAACAGTGCCAATGTACGTGTCGTCGTGAACGTCAGTCTTGGGCCCGCGTGGGTATGGCGCGCGAGCGCAATGTTGCTCCAGCGATGTTTGCAGCTGGCTCGATTTGTCGTGTGTGCTTGAAGGACTTTCATGTCCAACCTTGCTCAATCCAGCATTTTCATAACTTTCCCTCCTCCGTGTCACTTCGGCGTATTCCCGCGCGCGGCCGAGGGGGGAGGAGGCGACGGGGGCGAGTGGCCAATGCAGAGCCATCATCGCAGAGAACAGGGCGAAGGGTAGGCCAGACCACTTTGCGGAACGCCCGCCCATCCAATGCTGCGGCCCCCCAGTGGGGCCTAAGATCAAGGTCGCCGGGAGTCAGGTTCGCGCCGCGTCGGACATTGTGCCGACCCCTCCCGCTCCTGCCCCTGTGCCCCCCGCCTTTTCCCCGTCGCTCCCCGCCCGTCCGCTCTTCCATGCGCGTCCTTCATCTCTTCTCGGGACATAGGTGGAAGGGGGGCCTGCAGCGGCGCGTGGAATTCTGGCCGCAGCAGTTTCCAACGCAGCTGACCGTTCTCAGTATCGACGTGGCGAACCACGCTGCCCATGGATATTAGACCAATGATGAAACTGTCCTCTTGTGGGTCCTCGTTCTCCGCTCGGGGCGGGTTGCTGCGGTGGTCTCTGGTCCGCCGTGTGAGACGTGGTCGTCTGCCGGATTTCTCCCTGTGCCCCCCGAGGCCCCTGGCCCCCTGTGGGGCCCGTCCCCCGAGGTTTCTGAGGATCCCCGAGTCGATCTGGGGTCTGGGTCATCTCAGAGAGCGGGAGGCGGCGCAGCTCGCCATCGGCTATTGATTGCTCAGAACCACCATTCGGATGTTCTGTGAGGCGTGGATGCACGGTGGGCCGGCTTTCATGGGGCACCCTGCCAAGATCCCGCGCCCGCCCGAGGCCCCCTCTTCTTGGCACCTGCCAGAGTTGGTCCGCTTGACGCCCCCCCCCACATGTTTGCCTTCGCTGGATTGACCAGTGCTTGTGTTTGGCTCTCTTTACTTGAAACCCGCGGGGCCCCTTGGGGTCCATCTTGGGTCGTTGGGGGATTGTTGTTGGCCATTTTTTCCAGGGAGGGGGGCGGGAAGTGTGTTCGCACTCGGCCTCGCCTTGGACTCAGGGGGGTTGGAGATGACGGACTCTGGTGGGCCAGCCCTGCCGAAGTCTATCCCAGCCCCCTTTGTTTGTTCATGGCTTCCGCCATTCTCCAGGAAGTGCGCTATCGCTTTCTCATGGTTAAGACTGATTGCCCTCCGCCGCGGGTTTCCTTTGAGGATCTGGTTCGCCCTCGCCCCTGTCGGTGCAGAAGTGGTGAACGATCCTTCAGAAGGCTTCTCCAAGTTGCCCCGGCGGACGACGGCTGGGACTTGCCGTATGGATTGCGACGATTTGCCCCCCCCCCCCTCCCCCCCCTCCCCCCCCTCCCCCCCCTCCCCCCCCCCCCCCTCCCCCCCCCCCCTCCTTCCCCCCTCCCCCCCCCCTCCCCCCCCCCCCCCCCCCCCCCCCCCCCCCCCCCTGGGATTCCATGTTTTGCGACGGGGATTTCTAGGGACTGCGTGCTCCGTATCATGAACGGGCGTCGCACAGATAACCGCGACGGTGAGCACTCCGTTTCTCATTTTCTTGCTTCGCCTGGAGTTACAGAGTTTGCAGCATTGGGCGATGAAACGTGAAGGGCGCAGGGGGGAAATATATGCCAGGATCCCCAGATCCTTGCGGTAGCGCCTACCTTAGGCAGTACCTTCTGTGTTATGCCAGGGGCCCCGTAGGGTCTGGCTGCCCCCGTCAGTGGAGTAGCGATGCTGGCCTGGGGAAGGTCTCCCTTCTTTTTCCATCCTCGGCTTTCCTTTTATTTTCCACCTCTTAGTGTCCATCCACTTTCTAGCGATTGTATCCAGCTTTCCAGCTGGCAGGTCCCCTGCGTTCCTGCCCCTGCTGTTGCCCCCTGCTCTGTATCCATGCGCTTCTACCTCTCTTGCGCCGCGACCGACCGACCGAGGACGAGGGAGGAGGAGGGAGGAGGAGGGGGAGGATGAGGAGGAGGAGGTGGGGGGGAGGAGGAGGAGGAGAAGGAGGAGGAGGAGGAGGAGCAGGAGGAGGAGGAGGAGGAGGAAGAGGAGGAGGAGGAGGAGGAGGAGGATGATGATGATGATGATGATGAGGAAGAGGAGGAGGAAGAAAAGAGGAGGAGGAGGAGGAGGTGAAGGAGGAGGATCAGGAGGATCTGGAGGACAATGAGCATGAGGAGGAGGAGGGAGTGATGGAGGTGGGGGTGGAGAAGAAGGAGTCGGGAGGAGACAAGGGAGCTTCTGCATCCGCTCTCCGCCAGGCCCCTCGCCCATGGTTGCCTGGCGGGCGCAGGGCTCGCGGCGAGCCCCCCGGGCCTCGGCTGGGTGCTGCGCGCGGCTGCGGGCCCGCCATGGGGGGGGGCCTTCCCACCTCCCTCTCCTGCTCCCCGTTCTCCATTTTTGTTGTTGATGTTGGACGTGTGTGCGTGTGTGTGTGTGTGTGTGTGTGTGTGTGTGTGTGTGTGTGTGTGTGTGTGTGTGTGTGTGTGCGTGCGTGCGTGCGTGCGTGCGTGCGTGCGTGCGTGTGTGTGTGTGTGTATTTCTCCTAGGAAGTTCCCCTTTTCATCGGGTCGCCAACGAATCATACATTTCAACGCAACAAAGCATGACTAAATATTAAGCAGTAGCTGAGACTGCATACCAATAATCGTGGTCATGCATCAAAGCGCGAACGATTATTCTTATTCACGGGGCGTTTACCTGCAACAAGTTGCATAGCAAACGTGATGTTTTTTTCTGCTTTCGGTCCCGGGTGAAAATGGGGTCATCATCGCCGCTCCGCGCTCTTTCGCTGTGTTTTGTTCGCCGCCTCAGTTTGTTTCTTTTTGTTTGCCGCCCGATTCCTTCTGGAGATGCTGGAGGGGCGCGCTCCAGGAGCGGTGCGGGACCGATATTTTCAGGGTCGCCTCCGTAGGACCCCCCCCTGGGCCCTGGCCTGGAGCTTTTCAGTTTTTGTTTGTTGTTGTTCTTATTTCTATTGTTAACATTACTAGTAGTATGATTCGCATTATCATTCGTATTAATATGTAAGTTTTCTTTTTTACAGATATAGCACATACTTTGGCATTCGCACCACCTCCAAAAGGCATTCCGCGACATCTTGATCTCGCCGTTGGCAGATAGCTCGTCGCCCAGAAGGTAACTGATACGTTTCACTGCTGACTGTTTAGAAACATGGCCCCTCCTGGGGCGCCAGGGACTTCTTGAGGCACGGGCGGGTGAGCCAGTCGGGGGGGGGAGCTCTGGGGCCCAGGAGCCACTTCCCTCGGGACGCCCCGCCCTGTCGGCCTCGCCCCCCCCCGTTCTCGCCGTCCTCCTCGTCGAAGTCGTCTTCGTCGTCCACGCCGCCGTCGTCGCCGCCGTTGTCGCCGCCGTCGTCGCCGCCACCGTGGCCGTGGCCGTGGCCGTGGCCGTGGCCGTGGCAGTGGCAGTGGCCGTCGCCGTCGCCGTCGCCGTCGCCCTCGTCGTCGTCGCCGTCGTCGTCGCCGTCGTCTCCGCCGTCGTCGCCGCCGTCGTCGCCGCCGCCGTCGCCGCCGTCAACGCTGTCGCCGTCGCCGTTGCCGTCGCCGTCGCTGTTGCCGCCGTCGCCACCGCCGCCGTCGCCACCGCCGCCGTCGCCACCGTCGTCGGTGCCGTCGCCGTCGTCGGCGTGACCGTCGCCGCCGTTGTCGTCGCCTGCGAGGCCTCGCGGCCGCCGTCGCCGCGGGCTGCCAGTCCAGGCAGGCGGTCTACTCGGCAGGTGCGCCCCTCTCCCTCCTGGCCGCTTGGCGTCGGCGGGGTAGCGGAGGAGGAAGTGGAGGAGGAGTTGGAGGAGGAGGAGGAGGAGGGTGATGATGATGAGGAGGAGGAGGAGGAGGAGGAGGAGGAGGAATCTGAGGAGGCGGAGGCAGAGGCGGAGGCAGAGGCGGAGGCAGAGGCGGAGGCAGAAGCGGAGGCAGGGGCGGAGGCGGAGGTTGAGGAGGAGGAGGAGGAGGAGAAGGAGGAGGAGGAGAAGGACGGGGAGCAGGAGGAGGAGGAGGAGGAGGAGGAGGAGGAGGAGGAGGAGGAGGAGGAGGAGGAGGAGGAGGAGGAGGAAGAGGAGTCCGTGGTGATGGGCAGCCGTTGGGCCGCCAGGTTCGTCATCGTATGCGATTGTCAGCCGTTTGTGGACGTGGTCATGGGCAGGATCCTTTCGGAAGAGTCCAGGATCACAGTGCTTCTCTCAATGGTTTGTAACAATATTGCGCTCTTGTTTGACGATCAAGGTTGTCGAGATCCAGTTCTCTGGAGAAGCCGTGACCACACCAGGGTGGCCGACTACCTCGCCAACGTCACGATGGGTGTTGGCAACCTTTGGCGGGAAAGGAGGAGGATAAGGAGGAGGATGAGGGGAATGAGGAGGAGGAGGAGGAGGAGGAGGAGGAGGAGGAGGAGGAGGAGGAGGAGGAGGAGGATAAGGAAGCGGAGGAGGAGGAGGAGGAGGGGAAGCTCGAGGAGGATGAGGTGGAGTGGGAGGTGGATTAGGTCGGATCAGGTCGGAGGTCCGCGCAAGGACTTCACCAGGAAATCTCAACTGGAGGGGGAGGAGGAGGAACAGGAGGAGGAGTCCCATTCCCCTACCTCTTTCCCTTTATACGCAGCGAGCAGCAGTACAGCACCCTCTCTCTCTTCCCTTCCCCCTTCTTGTGGCGGTGGTGTTACATGGGGGCTCGCACCGAGCCTGAACCGATCCGTGGATCTGGCGCCCACGCGCCAGATCCACGGATCCCCGATCTACGTTAGCGTGTGCAGAATTGAAGGGCTTGGCACGCACGCGTGAGATCTTCATGCTCTGAGCGTGTTCCGCCGTCCGTGGTTTCTTCTCCCTCCTCGTTTTCCTCCTGCTCCTGTCGCGCCTATTTCGGCCCCGCGGTGCCCCTCGGTTGTCCCGACTGCAACTTGGTCGACCAAAAACAAGCGACACCACTCCACCTACGGCCCTACATGATGCGCTACTGCCCATCGGGCGCCAGAGCGTATACCACGCAAAAACCCACGCCAGATTTCCAGGTATACGCGAAGCCCCCTGGGGCCGTAGGTGGTGTGGTGTCGTTTGTTTTTCTGGGCCACTTGGTGCCAAGCCGCTGCGATTAAATTATCCCGGCAAAGCAACCTAACAGCGATGTGTAGGAGCATATCTGGAAGCATTTCCCTTAAGATTCACATGAGAAACCAGTTGTAGAATTCTGCTGTTCTCGCAGTCGCAGTCGCATTCGCGATGAAAGTCGCAGTGGCAACGGCAGTCGCAGTCACAGCCTCAGCCTCAGCCTGCCTCAGCCTCAGCCTCAGCCTGCCTCAGCCTCAGCCTCAGCCTGCTTCAGCCTCAGCCTCAGTCTGCCTTCAGCCTCGGCCTCAGCCTCAGCCTGCCTCAGCCTCAGCCTGCATCAGCCTGAGCCTCAGCCTCAGCCTGCCTCAGCCTCAGCCTGCCTCAGCCTCAGCCTCAGCCTGCCTCAGCCTCAGCCTCAGCCTGCTTCAGCCTCGGCCTCAGTCTGCCTTCAGCCTCGGCCTCAGCCTCAGCCTGCCTCAGCCTCAGCCTGCATCAGCCTCAGCCTCAGCCTGCCTCAGCCTCAGCCTCAGCCTCAGCCTCAGCCTCAGCCTGCCTCAGCCTCAGCCTCAGCCTGCTTCAGCCTCAGCCTCAGTCTGCCTTCAGCCTCGGCCTCAGCCTCAGCCTGCCTCAGCCTCAGCCTGCATCAGCCTCAGCCTCAGCCTCAGCCTGCCTCAGCATCAGCCTGCCTCAGCCTCAGCCTCAGCCTGCCTCAGCCTCAGCCTCAGCCTGCTTCAGCCTCAGCCTCAGTCTGCCTTCAGCCTCGGCCTCAGCCTCAGCCTGCCTCAGCCTCAGCCTGCCTCAGCCTCAGCCTCAGCCTCAGCCTGCCTCAGCCTCAGCCTGCTTCAGCCTCAGCCTCAGCCTGCCTCAGGAATGGAATTCTGGGAACTCGAAGACCACGAAGTGGCCTACAGTTGGCTCCGGGCATTCAAAATCATACCCAGGAATGGAGTTCTGGGAGCTCGAAGAAGACGAAGTGGCCTACAGTTGGCTCCGGACATCCAAAATGTGGCCCGGGAGTGGAGTTCTGGGAACTCGAAGACCACGAAGTGGCCTACAGTTGGCTCCGGGCACCCAAAATGTGGCCCGGGAATGGAGTTCTGGAAACTCGAAGACCACGAAGTGGCCTACAGTTGGCTCCGGGCATCCAAAATGTGGCCCGGGAATGGAGTTCTGGGAACTCGAAGACCACGAAGTGGCCTACAGTTGGCTCCGGGCATCCAAAATGTGCGCCGGGAATGGAGTTCTGGGAACTCGAAGACCACGAAGTGGCCTACAGTTGGCTCCGGGCATCCAAAATGTACGCCGGGAATGGAGTTCTAGCAGCGCCAAGAGCGATTTTGCGAGGATGTCCCAGGCGATTTGGGCTTCGACGGCAGCCGCCCCGGGTCCCGCCCCGACCCCCCTGAGGAGTCATGATGCTCTCTTTTGAGCCTACTAGAAACCTATCAGTCTTCGCTGTTAGGTAAAAACTGCCCCGTTGAAGCAGGACCAGACCAAATCCAGGGTTCATCAGCGATGCCGCACTGCGGCGGCGCGCCGAGGTGGGAAGCGAGAGGGGACAGGCCTTCTCAGAGGGTGGCGGGGCTCTTGAGCCGGCTGAAGCTTAGAAAGTTTCTCAGGAAGCCGGAGGCCCCCTCTCTGCCTTGCCACCTCGGCGCGCCGCCGAGCAGCACGCCCTCGCGTCCCACGTCCTCACATCTTAGGCCCCTGCGAGCACTCCTCGCTACGGGAGGCTCCCCCGCTCGAAACACGACGACCCCCGGGGGCCTGCCCTTCGAGCGACAGGTTTCGAAAAGGAGCCGTCCATTATCTTGTTGGCTATAAGAAGAAGTGCCATGGGGTATGACCATGCAACCGAAGGAAATCCAGCGAGAGCTCGCTTATGAAGGACAGAGCGCACCTCCATCCGTTCAGTGGTTCACGCTAATACCAGTCTCGTAATGAAGAGAGCATAAGTCTCAGGCGAGAGCCCTCGTTGTGAAAAGGGGGCGGCCTGCAACTGTGTAACTGATGTGGGAGTTCATACCTCTTGGTCATCAGCATCGAAGTCGTGTCAAACAAGAGCCTCATGTTGGCAAAGAGCCACCCTCCATTCCGTAGCTGTTGGAAGCTGTGAAGACGAATGATTCGGCTCCAATGTGAGAGCCACCTGTTGACGACGACCCGCCCTCCAACTGTTGGATGTTCTATTCTATTCTTTCGGATCACACATGGTGAGGACATCTCGGGCAAAACGTACGGCCCGTCCTGCCGACGCCTGGTTGTGCGATGAAGAGGAACTATATGTGAGAAAGTGGGGTTGGGGAGGATGAGGGGAGTGGGGAGGGGGAGAGGAGGGGGGAGGGGCTGGTGGAGGGGAAGGAGGAGGAGGAATGGGAGGACAAATAGTAATAGGGACAACGCGAGTACTAGTAACACGGACACTAAGACTTCAGCTAAGAAAACGAACGTTATCACGAATCAGAAAAGTAAGAGTCTATTAGTATTACTAACACTACTCGTAAGTAATAATACTAAGAATAACCATGCATACTACCAATCATATCAGTTAGTTGGTAGAAGCAAACCACTAGTATTACGAATTTGGTACGAAGAAGACTGATACTACTACTGCGAATGTTAACAGGAAGACGAACCATACGA